CTGGGGACCGTGGGTCCACGGCCTTTGCATCTCTAACCAGCAACTATAGACGGGCTGCTTCACCTCTGCATCTTTAACCCCCAGCGTACCATTGTCACACACATCAGCGTGCCCTTGTGAAACGCAATAAGCTGAGAGTTAGAGATGCATAGGACGTGGAGCAGACAGTTCAGAGTTGCCAGCTAGAGAATCAGAGACTATAAGTCCACGGCCCTGAAAAGGTCCATTAATTTCTGTCTACACACGATTCGCTGTCACAATTTGATCTGCGGATCCCAGCACTTCTTGCATCCGAGTCGTTGCCTCGTATACATCTCCCCACACTCCGCTTGTTTATTCGGCTGCTGCTCGAAAACTTCGTCTTCATTGTGAATATCGCAGCATGCTGATCGAGACGATTTTTCTCGCAATCTTTGAGGAAGTCAAGCTAAGGCGTTCGTAGGTGTTCAGTTGATTGAGTGCTAGAGAGCGCCAGGAAATGGATCAAACAACACTTCATTGCTGATGAAATCGTCTTCTGATACAATCCATCACTAGCCACAGCGGTACCGCGCTTTCTAGCTCAACTGACAAAAATATAATAGAATTTTTTAAAAACGCAAAAAAACATTCATATTCGGTTCTTCACGCCTAGCTCAACGTCGTAAAGAGGCTTGATCTTCTTCCTACTCAATGAATGAATCTTCATTATCAGCGTACGCGATGGGAGACGCATTGGAAACCTCGTCTAGGATTGTGTAGGGTCTCCTATGTTGACATCAACGCGCTGTTATCCGGATAAAAGTCTGCTCTATCCAGAAAAAAGTGCGCTCTACTCAGTGCATTCTGCAGCTTTCCATTTTTTCCATGAATTTCCGGAGTACTCTAAAGATCTTCAGACTCTCGATCGGTTCTTTTTTTCTTCTCCGCTCGACTTTCTCCGTATTTCACCCAGGTCTGAATTTCCCATGGTTATGGTGAGGCTGCGGGTCCCTTTTCGAAGAGGAGTCACTCTTCTGAGCTCAGTGGGAGCACATCGCCACCAAGCTGCTTTGGGTTCCCGTGCTCGTTGACCTCGTCCGGGCCTTGCCTATCTCTGGCTCCAATGTTTTGACTAAGAAAATCTTCCACCTTTCACTATAGACTGATTTTCAGATAGAGTTCTTCTATTTAACCGCTTCTAGCAGTGTTATAATGTTTACAAATATATTGAATGGGGAGGGGCGCCGTGGCCGAGTGGTTGTGATGCTCGTCGCGGCGCACGCGGGAGCGAGTTCCACCCCCTCCCCCCTTCCCAGCTCTCTCCGGCAGTCAACAACAGCGCCCTATGGGACGCGAAAGCCAGGCTATCCTCGAGATTACAATGAGACTCGCTTGACCAGAGTTCTACAAAGTTCAAGAAGAAGACGAAAAACGATTAGATGGTGGAACTACTGGGATCCGCACGGTTAGAAAGAAACATCGTGAAGACGGATCAATAAAATGAAACTTGATACATCAATGATGCTGAGTGATGTGCAAAACTTTCGCTTCAGGCGGACTCGAACCCGCAGCTCACTCTGTCTGGAAGTGCGTGCCTCCCCGTTGCGCTACCGACGTCTGTTGTTAAAGTAGGCAAGCTCTCGGCTGATCATCCCTGGGATGCGCATGTGTTCGTCTTCATTTTTTAGTCGTTGAGGTGATTGAATGCATGTGGCCTTTACAATGACTCACAGTGCCTCCCGCTGAACCGAGTCAGTGCCGCTTATCTCCCAGATTAGGCCGAGAGCAGTGTGTACAATTTACGACGCGGATAGATGGATGCTGATGAGCTGGGCGCGAGATCGAACCATTGACTTCGTGTACGACGCAGAGCACCTCTAACCACTGCGCCACATGCGCTCTTCGGCACTGGTATCGGTTATATGTATAAAAGACGATACTTTTCCGTTAGACCACACGACGGATCAAAAACCGGTCCCTTTCGCTAGGCAAGAACTTTTCATAAGAGTGTTAGTAACCATACGAAAGGTTAAATTTTTGCTTAGCGCCGTACGTGGCCGGAACTCTTACAAAAGTCTCTTTATAACGCTTCACGCAAGGATGAAGTTTGTGTGCCTTGTGTTTTGTGTGACTCTGATGCTAAAAGATTTTCTCTAGACGTTCATATGCTTTTCGCACTTCCAGCGAAGTAAATGTTGAATTGCGGAGCCGAATGTAAAACATAATTTTATTTTGGAATTTTACAGCGTTATAGGAGGGTCTTTTCGAAAATCGCCACAAGTACTGCGCTAGCCCGGAATCTAAGCTTTCGAATGACTACTAAAAGTCTTATGAAAAGTTCTTGTCGAGCGAAAGGTATCGGTTTTTGATCCCATGTCGTCTAACGGAAGAGCTCCAAATAACTGTGTTTGGTCATGCATATACCCAATAGCTGTCGGCGCAACTGGGCTCAAAGTCGATATCGATAACGAGGATCGAACCGTTGACGGTTGGTTGCTGACAGAATGATGCGTTGTAGCGTACAAAGAGAAGTGGCAAAATAAGCGTCGGGTAGTGCAACGGATTAGAGTACGCGCTCCACAAAGACGGTGAAAGCGGGTTTCGAGTCCGGCCTGACGTCAGAGGTTCATTTCCATACACTCATAACTAGCTGTCTCCTTTCGTTGTTCTACTAACACTATATTTTTGCCGTAGCAAATGTGGCGCAGTGGTTAGAGGTGCTCTGCAGCATACATGTCGTCGATCAACTGCTAGTCGATTGTTCGATCTCGCTCTCAAAGCTTACGAGACCTTCGATCCCTCCAGGGTCGGTGAGTACGTTCCGTTCCGCGGTGTGGCCCGCTTCATCAGTGGCCGGCGCCAAACTAGGGTCACTGAACCCTATTTTGTAACTGGAGTGGAGAGACATTGTTTATGGTATAGCACTTGATAATTTGTTGTCACCATTTTTTGGCTGGGAGTGAAGATGTAAAACCATCTCATCAGCTGTTTTTGAACCTCGCTATATAAATTGTTCTATCAAAGTCGAGCGGAAATTGCTTAATTTCTGCAGCAAAGCACAATCTCCCGCAGTTTTGACTGCTGCAAGCTTTTGCGATATCGATCGTGCTTTGTTTTGTTGCATAAAAAAAGATAAATAATCCATCATAGTTGTTGTTTTCATCATTTCGCCCCGACCGATACGATTGATCATCCTTGAAGCGTTGCTCGAGCGATCGAGCGATATAGCACTCTCCATTACTAAAGTCCATCATAGATTATTGGCATTGCTAACGACAGTTGGAGCAGTCTGTAGCCTCCGTGTTGAACTCCGCCGTATAAATCCCTAAAGAATACCAAGTAATTTCAGGTTGGAATTTCTGCATTTCATATATCTCTTCACAAGCATTTGTTCTGCTGTTAGAATCTCGGGTGTTGAAAAGTGTTCAGACGTGTTGCGCCATGTATACACTTATCTGTATGTTTATATATATATATATATATATATATATACATACATATGTATATGTAATATATATGTATATATACGTAATACATAGGAGCGTACGCGGCGCAGTGTTTAAAGCTGCACTTCGTCGCACACAAGGTCGATGGTTCAATCTCGCGCTCATGGCTCACCAAGCCATCCACTCCTCCGGGGTCGCTAAATTGGTACCGGAATGATTGCAGACTTGCCTGGGTGGGTAAGTAGCACTGACTCGATACAGCGGGAGGCCACCGCGAGTCATTGTAAAGGCCTGATGTGCATTCAATGGCCTCAAACGAAGTTAAAAATTGAAGACGAATGAATGACGCATCTCTCAGGAATTGATCAACTCCGAGAACTTCCATCTTTGGAGCTTTCATGCGCATATATATATACTAATATATACACATATATGTATATATACATATATGTATGTATATATACAAATGTACATATACTATATATACATATCATATATATATATATATATGTAAAAGTATAAGGAAAGGATGAAGCTCTCGGCGTTGATCAGTCTCTGAGGGATGCGCCATGCATTCGCCTTCAATTTTTAACTTCGTTTGAGGCTACTGTATGCATATCTGGCCTTGATAGTACTCGCAGTGGCCTCCCGTTGTATCGAGTTAGTGTTGCTTATCCTCCCAGACAAGTTTGCGACCATTATGGTACATATTTAGTGACCTAGGAGGGATGGATGGCTTGGTGAGGTATGAGCTCGAAATGGACTATCGATCTTGTGTGCGACGCAGAGCACCTCTAACCACTGCGCCACGTGCTATATATAATCTGTACATGATGTATCTACATACGTATTCATAATCATGTATGTGCATATTCATAAGTATATACATATATGCATATGGAGCGGAGTAGAGCAGTCGTTAGTGATGTAGTGCATCAGAAAGCGAGGTGATAACAATGCGCTGGTTCGTTCCGTACCGCAGCACTCTCTTACAATCATAGAACGCTTAGCTCAGGTACCTACGATACTACAGAGAAAACCATTCCAACCAGCCCTCTGCGGCATTCAAAAAGAAGTCAAAATCCTTGAGCATCAACCGAAGCAACCCGTGAAGTATTGCAGGGCCTTAGTGGAGGATGAAAACGAGGAATCGAATCGAATGCAAGAAGTGGTGAAGGATCCGTCAAGTGAATTGTGATAGCGGGTCGTGTAAAACAATTCGTATATTACAATTCTAATTTATGCGTTATTGTTTTGCATCCATGTTTATTTATCGACCAAAGCACTTTTTTTTTTGAATATTTGGTTCGAATGCTTCTAATTCATTGCAGACCGTGACGTTCTACAGACGTTTTTTGGCACACGTCAAAGCAAAAGCGCCTTACGCTTTGTGTTTGTTGTATTTCATGTGTCTTGCATTGCATTATATCGCATTCTGTTTGCTAACACTTTGAGTACCACAATGGTTTTTTGCCTGGCACGCGAAACGGTCGATCGGACGGCAGGGCGCGCTCAACTGACAGTGTTGTTACTTGCATACCTAAGAGAACTGAGTGGTGAGCAAAAACACGGCCTCAGGCGGGAATGGAACCTGCGTTTCATCCTATCACGTGGTAGAGCACGCGTCCCCGGGAAGGATGAATCGCGGGTTCGATTCCCGCCTGAGGCTGTGTTTTTGCTCACCACTTAATTCTCTTAGGTATATATGTAGCATCATAACACTGCGAAAAAAGTAGTAAAAGTTATAGAATTTCGGAGTAATTGACAGTATTTCATTTCTACGATATGGTCTCGATTTTTATCGCCACTAAGGGTGGATTTAGGATCAGTAAAAGATGTAATATAGCTGAAGAGACTTCAGTAAGGCTGCCAAGTTGTACCAACAATACCATTGCTTTCTGATGAAAAATAAACATTCATGTTAGCTAAAAAATGATACTGAATTCTGCCTAGAAATCATGAATTTTGACGCTGATGTGCATTGGACTTCGTTTTTATTTTTCAGGAGCGTTTTTGCATAACGTGTCGTTGTGAACTATTATAAATTGTATGCTATTAATAGATATAAGTTCTTTGTAGAGAACTGTGATGCTGCAAGTGTAGATATAATAGGTATAGTCAATTGAATGGCTCAAAAATATTGATAATTTGATAAGTCCATCAAATAAGTAGCAGTTTTTCGGTGTGCGCACCCATACCCATGACGCGACGTGCGGCGCGCTGATAGGTGTTACGAAATTGCCCACGCGGTACCCAACGTGTTGTTGACCAATGTTGTCGTTTCTGTTCTTGTAAACGGATTTTGTCTACGTGAAAATTTCTGAGATGCAATGATAATTCTGAGCGAGAAAAAAAAACGGAGAAACATTGCTTTTTTTTAAGAAACACTAACCTTGCGAAGGCATCGTCTTCCATGTGACTGAAATGACTTGCTCGGCGACCAATGATGACGGCAGTGATCAAGAACCATCACTAAAACCGTCAAAGAGAACTTGTAGCTCTCCATGCTATAAAAGAGACAGCGTACTTCAAGATTTTGGGTGAGCAGCTCTTCTTCACCTCAAATTTATCTCAGAAAATTAGTGCATTCGTTTATAGTCAGGGGAACCTATCAGACATTGTTCCTATAGTCTCTTGTCATCTGTAGCTTGACGCTTTTGATTTAAGAACTACATTCCTACATAAATTCTGAATCCATCTCTGTTGGATTACTTGGTAGAAATTGGTTTATCCAGCAATTGGAACAATCCTTGAAGCATATTTCATGGTCTAAGAGTGTTGAGTGATGTACAAAGCATTCAACATTAGTTGGGAGTGGAACCCGCGTTTCACTCATATCGGGGCGCATGCTACCGTCACACTACCGAGACCATCGCTTTCCTACCACTCTTCTGTGTAGACGATCGTAGCTGTCAGCAGGCATCCTTTGACGAGTTTGCTTTCGTAACCCCATGCCGGCATCAATTCTAGTTATTTCAGAAAATTCAGCCGAAATCTTTTGGAACCGTGGACCCAACTCTCTGCGTCTCTAACCCCCAATGCGTCGCATCTTGCAATGGCATCGAGAACCCAACATGTTGTGTCTGACAGTGGCGTCTAACCCCAGCGTGCTGCGTGTAACAATGACGTGCTGGGTTAGGTGCCATAATCAGACGCAACAGGCTGGGGTTTAGAGACGAAGAGGGTTGAGTCTCTGGTCCCGATAGGTCCAACTGGGTTCAATGCTGAAATATGTCTACTAAACTAAACTCGTCAAAGGTCTGTTGCCAGTAGCTGCGATAGGTTAAGTCGAAGAAAAAGTGATAGCAAACAGTGGCCACGGTGATGTAGAGATAGCACGCGCCCCGGTTTAGGTGGAATGGGAGTTCAACTAGCACTGGGTTTGCATGTTCTGAATAGCACTCAAGGTTCTTAGGTGTATGATGAGAAGATCATAGCACTGTTTGAAAGCAGTAAAATGGAAAATCACTAATAGCGTGTCTTATATTTTTCCTGTGTATTAGTGCTCCTGCAGCTGAGCGAATTTTGGTGCTAGATCATTCCATCTGAGTTTTCTTCCTTAATAACGAGGTGGCACCATGTGTGTATAGCCCCTGCTGTATCCCCGAACATCAAAGGCTTCCACACGGTTCATCCAGAACGTCGAGTGAATCATGTGTCAGATAAGAGACCGTTTTTCAGATGCTATGAATTGAAAGTGTTGGTCATTTCGCAACTGAGTTATGTCCCTATTACTTGTACCATGTTATCGACTGCCTTTTATGAACCTAATCAGGTTTGTGGCTTCTTTATCTTTTGAAAACGACATCTTTCCTATTCAGTCGTGGTCTTCATAGTAGCTGTTTAAAATAAATACTTGAACTTTCGATTTTCAAGATGACATGTGTTTCTCTGAACTTGGCGAAAAACGGATCAAGCAGGCAACCGCAAAAGGTTTGAGGAAGTTTTTCTACATGATTATTCACCTTTTTATCTCCTTTGAATTCTAACAGAAACCCCAAAATGAGGTACCACTTGAAGCCTAGGACGATATCTCTGAGTGTTCAGCTTTAGCGTTCAGTGGGTATTCGTCTTCGCAACTTTTCGGTTATAAGGAAACATACGAATATTCGACCTCATTCGCTGCACAAGAATTTTTAATAGAAGCGTCAATAATCGTCCGAAAGCTTGACTCTCTAACTAGAATCGTACGTGGCCGGTTTCCGATAATACTCTTCTATAACGCTGTGAAGTTCAAAATAAAAATAGTTTTTACACGCGCATTTTTCTCGCCGGACAGAGCTCCTTTTTAGTTCATCAATAATCATTTGATAGTGTAAGATTCTAGGACTCCAGCTCTGTGCTTATTTTTTGCAAAGATCATTTCTTTGCACTGCAGCAGTGCAAATAAGATCAAATTCACATACGCGGACATGGAAAATTAGGTTTTTGTGGTAAGGGGGGCAGGACGGATGTGGCCGTTTCAACACGCCGGTCGATCGATTGGCCCTTGCGCGGGCCATGAGAGAGTGCATTTCTTGTTATTCAATTAGGAATTGTTTCTCAAAACTCCAGATTGAACGTCTGACTCATACTGAAAGATTTTCTGTACAGATTCATGTGCTTTTCGTGCTTTCCAGCGAAGTAGTTGAATTGTGCGGCCGACATAAAACATAATCTTATATTGAATTTTACAGCGTTATAAAAGGGTCTTTTGAAGATCGGCCACGTCGGGCTCTAGCCAGAGATTCAAGCTTTCGAATGATTACTCGCAATCCTTAAAAAATTCTTATACAGCGAATGAGGTCAAATATTCATTTGTTCTCTCAAAACCGATAAGAACCCCATCTTCTGCTATGGTCATCTAACCTAGCAAGTTAAACGCTTCCACTCCAAAACCCCTCATGCTGAAATCCGTTATCAGGTCACCAGAGTTTGACACTCCATCTTGAAGCTCAGCTAAGAGTTCCACAATGCTCAGAGTCGTCGCTTTCGGGAAGTGATCTAATCGCAAGGTTTCAAATCTCTTCGCGATCAAAGTGAGCTTTCTGATGTCTGATATGACGACATGTGAACATGTTGTGACAAATTCGTTGAAAACTGAAAAATGTTGTTAGACCGACATGTTAGTAAAGAGAATTTTTTGCGCTGCACAAACTGTTTGGCCATCAGAGGCGTCTATCAAGAATTTGCGAAGACTGAATGTGATTAACCCTTTTGGTACCACGTTGATTTTTGCTTAGTGGCGGTGCGGTCCACCGCCTGGTGGCGCGCAGTCGAATAGCAATCTTGTGATTTTTTTTTTAAGCATTTGATAATAATCTGCAGGACCGACTACTGTAAACCGTGGCATTCTTCAGTAGATTAGCATCTTCTTTTAATGTCAAACTCAAGGTTTTATAACTCAATTTACTCTAAGAGCTGACGTTTCGGCGGTTTCGCCTTCTTCCGAGCCTGAAAAGAGCATGTTGTCCACAGCTGAAAATCTTTAGAAGGCGAAACTGCCAAAAAGTCAGCTCTGAGAATAAAGTTGTGTTATAAAACCTATGCATGGCCTATGGAAAAAATAAGAAATCGATGAAATGAGGACTTTTTAATCAGTAACAGTTGTGAAATGGCTAAAGGCTATTTGTAGTAGATTTCATTAGGGCTATTTGTAGTCAACTACATTAAGGCCATTTATAGTAAAAACACCGGCAATGTTTCCTAGTAATCAATAAAGTAATTAGGTGTTTGTCGAAAATAGTATTGCACAGAGCGTAAAGAATTATCTTCTTTGATGCAAATGTTTACATTGTAGATCCTTTTTTGGAAGAGTTTGTGGATAGTGGTTTAGTGACGGTGTGGTAGAATATTAGACAGATATTTTGTAGTTCGAGTCGACGAGTCCCTGATTTGGATTGAGGTCAACTCTGTTTGAAAATCTTTGAAATGCAGGCAATTGCCCTTCTTAGTGTTTGAGAGGCTGTGAATTAGAATTGATGAGTTAGTTGAAATGACAGTTTGTGATACCACAATAAATTTGTGGGTTATTCAAGCCATTTAATTTACGACGTTGGGTTCTCGAAGAAGAAATGGAGCTCGAGTGCTCCATCACGAATTGACTCGCAGTTGAAGTTGGGTCCGCTCCTCCGAACTTGGTGACCATTGTTCTTCTTTGACCACACGGATCTTATCAGTCCCTTGTCCTCAGCTCAAATCTCAAATTTGGATCTTTGTAGAGTATTGTAAAACCGTCAACCGGGAATGTTGTTAGAATAATTTAATAAATAAAGTCAGAACAAGAACATCCACACAACTTTATCAAGTAAGTACCAGGTTCGTATCGGGGCGCACACTTGTTGAGTAAATCCACGAAGCCGAGACGCGGCGCGAACATCAGTGACCTAAAACGGAGTCGCGCGGTGGCGTAAGGGTTAACGTGCAACAAATTTTCATTGCCCATGAGAAATCAGATGAGTTAGATCTGTGTTTTTAGGCGACTGGAGCTGACTTCATCTCATTACTATTTGAATGGGATGAAGCTTGTCAGAATTCCGTGATAACTGCCATAATGTCGACAAGTCTGATGGTTGGAGCACTAGCAGGTTCATTTCTTGCTGGCTGGTTAGCGGACGCCTATGGACGGCTCCCAGTGTTAAAGGGTAACTAGTCCGTCTACAATGTTCCACAAACCCAACCCTCTGCATC